CACAGCCATATGCCTCTGCCGATCGCTTGGACCACCCTCCGCTCCCTTCATCCCATCATTAACCTGATGGGCCCTCTTTTTTTTCATGCCTACCCGCCCGTCGTCTTTGGCACACCACAACCGACTTACTCATCATGTGTATGTATATAAATATATGTGCAATATGTGCAATATCTGGAGATATGATAAAACTATAACCTCAGCCCTGTAGATTCATAGCAGGTGTAGAAGTGTAATGAAGTGGTTGGGCTGCCATAACACCCTCCCCCACCCCATTTCAACCCTGCAGCTGTACAGAAATGTTTTCATTGCTGGGTTAGGGGATACTGAAGGAACAGCTGAGCAACCCTCTACTATTTCTATCAGATGATCTCAGAGAGACCATCTGACTGATGCAGCATGCGTTTTGCCATTCATCCGTACTTACCTTTCAATGTTTTCCTATGGATTGGATTGGCTGCAATCATTGATCTCAATGATCTCAGCCAAAGAGGTGGAGCAGCATGCTGGAGACCAGTGCTGCAGTGCAGTAAAGGTAAGTAATAACTCACGTTTATTTTTTTTTGCTTTTCATGGTAGTAGTGTGATGGAATTTCAGTGAAATGTAAATTTAGTAGGCCGAGATTTCCACGTGGCATATGTGTATGTTGTATCAGTTAGTTAGTTACACGTAGCTAAGATACTGTCATCAATGTACTGAGCATGTGCAGGAATTTTGGAACTGAAATTACACTCCTTTCTCCTTTGTTTCGGATGAGCCATGTGGTCTGCCCATATGAGGAAATCCAAATCCTGTCCACTGATTGGTTAAGGTTATGTGTGGGTGGAGCTATTAATGGGAGGAGTTATAGTTCTATAAAAAGCATGTACTCCATGTGTTCGGCCCTCAGACCTGTTTTGGAACGTTCGTTCATCTGAGACCCGATCGGTATGTTAATAAAGACCTCTTACTTCCTGAAAACCTGCATCCATCTCTCTGTGTCTGGCTTCTGCAAGTTTACTTGGTTACAGTAGGAGACTGCAGAAATTGCAGATCTGAAACCTGTACAGAAATGAGAGAATCCTATACTAAAATGAATAACAATAGGGAGTTAGAAAATGCTGCTAACTAATATTTCCTTATCTACATATGAGTGGGTTTAAAAAACAAAACAAAACAAAAAAAAAGTTGAGTTCCCAATTAAAACTATGAAAACTAACACAGGCTTCATCCACCCAGACGGGAAGTAAAACTAGATTAAGATATTTAGCCTTCTGTCATGTAATCCAAGTTATATGTGGCACGTTGCCCTTCTCCTGAGTATGCAGTGATATATGTTTTATTAAATAACACGTGGAAATATGCCAGTATATTTATCTTTTATAGAAAAGGTAATGCTTCTAACATAAAAATTTGGTGCTGGAAAATGCTAATTACTTGCATATATGTAGATTAAAAATTGAAGAGATTAAAAAAAATATCACGTTGATTCACTAAGTGGAGTAAGTAACGTCACTGCTGCTAAAGTCACACTTTGAAGCTAGTTCCATGATATTTACTGTTATGCACCTGAGGCTGATTTATGAGCAGAAATGATCTCAGCCAGCTGATCTATTTTCCTATTAAGTGATAAAATAGCAGGCAGGAGCCTGGAAATATTACCTATATATAAAGACACTTTGCACCAATTTGTAGCTATAAATAGTAAAAACAGAAAAAAAAAAACCATGCTAAGGTCTATAAGAATATCTGTAAGATGCTGTACAATAATTTCCTGCATCTTAGATCCAGCTGTGCAATTGAATCGGGCGCTAATATTACTACACAACACTAAGTTATCAAAGTATATAAAAACTATTGACACCCCACATTGTTGACTGAACACTCCCCTCCTTCTACTTCTCACTGACTCAGTAAAGTGGAAAAAATATGATCCATGGAAAAGCTAGCTTCATCTAGTTTCACAATTACAGTGACAAAGTGGCCAGCATTTCTTACCTTAAAGGAACATTATAGGGTCAGGAACACAAACATTTATTAAATGTTAAAAACACCATATAGCCTCCCACCCCCTTAAAATATAGTCAAATCTTACCTTTATTCCAGTCTGCTGCTGCTAACTCTGCCCCTGATCTGCCTGCTTGGCTGACATCATCAGAAGTTTTGATCAAAGCCAATCACAATGCTTTCCCATAGGAAAGCATTGGATTGGTTGAGACTGTCAAGGAGGCAGATCAGGGGCAGAGCCAGCACAACAAATACAACATATTATAGTCAATGCTCAACTAGTATGGGTTAATTTAGTGAGGCATGCAATAAAAAGCAACAGGGTGCTAAAAGCAAACAACCTGTTCCCTCACCAGGTACATAACAGTCATATAATACAAATAATTACCAAGCACACCAATGATTTTAGTAGAAAGATAGTTTTAATTTTTTTTCCATATATGCTTATTAGCAGAGTGCAAATGTGCAAAACAGAAGTACAAAGAAACGCCATCAAGTGTAAAAAAACAAACAAACTGCAGGCCTAGCGTCATCGTGTGTGCGTGATGCTGAACCTGGTCCAACAGTTAGACGAAGTGGCCAAAATATCAGAAAGGCGAATTGGGGAAGGGTCGCTCTGGTCTCAGACGAGTGAATTAAAATCCATCCACCTCCTGTATTACTCCGTTCTCCCAAATTTCATCCCAGAGACTAAATAGCTAACTGAATAATCTGAGCACATCCCAACAGTCCAATTCAACATACAATGTGTGCATATTGTAACTGACCGTTTTTCCCACAAGAGGTTAAAAACCGTTTAGGCGATATTCCCCTTTCAGATGCACAGACAGCTACTGCAATCGCCAATCTCCTGAACTCCAAACTACACGAATTCTCCAACTCCCGAACAGGAAACACACGAATAGTGGAAACAGCTGAACAGGAAAAACCATACGAAAGGTTTACACTCCTGGCAGTAAGCATACAATCCAATTCCCCCAATAACGAGACGACACTTCGTTTGAGGGTTAAGCAGAATCTCTTTACTGGCACCAAAAGAACCTTCTTTTATGCAGGTTTCCCTTAGGTAGGACCACCCACATGGTTTTACAAAACAACCAATAAACACATACAATACACTCAGACACTCCCACACAAAATCCTCCCCTCTGCCTGTGATACAATTACCTTACACAATGGGTAATGTAATTATCACCGGTAGAAAAATACAGCTTTTCCACATTATTCATAACTTGAAAAGTATGCATCACGTTCACATAAAACTTACATTTTCAGAATCAGCATACTCCAAATACAAACATATGTCAAAATCATCCAAATTGGTCCATTGGTTCAAAAGATAGATCGAAGTCCTTTGTGACCAAATGAAGCATGGCTTTTCCGCCCAAAACCAGTTCCACAGAGTCTTCTATCCTGGAGATAATTGGGAAGTAATCCAATTATCTCCAAGGACAGAAGCAAAACTCCATTGAACACATGGCAGCAAAAGACAATAAAACACATAAAAACATATAACTGTGCAGCCATTGCACAAAACAGGTACATTCAACATAACCCAGATAGCTCAGATCTGAGCGCACATTATTACCGAATGGCGCTCAGAGCACACACATACAGTTCAATTGCCATGGAGCCAAAGTCTTTCCCGTAGTCTTTCATTATACGAATGGGTTCCATGGCATAGCTATCTGGGGTATCACCGCTCAAACAGGGCCAGCACCGAATGACCCGGCTTTCGTGTCTTCGCAGGGGAAAATCAAGCTTTTCAACATGGGGCCATAGTCTAAAGGCAGCAGGCGGGCAACCAGGCTTCCCCAGTGCATAGTGGCGAGGTTGGTTCCGCCACACATATACAGAGTATAAACATCGCAATTGGTAACAATGTCATCTATTATTAAATATAAGCATTCACATGGTAAATACAGTAGCCACAAAAGACAATAATAAAAATAATAAAATATATATATATAATAAAAAGAAAAATGTCCTCGATGGTAGGTGTGCAAGGAGCTCAAGGAAAGATATGAAAAGGCAATGATAGTGCTCTCAATAAAAAATATATATATAAGATATACTGTAATAAAATATACTCACAAAGATAGAGCAGGCTAACTGCTCTGTGTAATCAGCGTTGGTGGTATGATCCCCACCTAGGATTCTTTGGAGTAGAGGGTTGGAGATAATATAATGCCAGGTAGTATGTATAAAATGAAAATAAAAAATAATAATAAAAATAAATGTGGTTGGTACAATTCTCAAGTGCAGTGACCAACATTCTTTTATTAATTAAAATACAAATAGGTAACATCCATTTATTGCGTTTTCATCAATGCGGCCTTTTCAAAATGGAATGGAACGTGCACGAGAGTGCAGCGTTGAGGGCTAGGGAGGATCCAGTGGGATCCTCCGTAGATAAAGGCAATACCATGCAGCCTACTGGTGATGGCTGGGGGAGATTGACACTTCTAGATGGCAGTACCTCCGCCCAGTGTCTAAAAGTTTCAGACGTAGGAAATGTACAGAGACAAAGTAGTTCCTATAGTATATCTCTTGAATGGGTTGGCATTTCAATGAAATTCCAATGGATTCAGTATGAGTATTTCATAAAGATTCTATCATTATGAAATACTAATATTCAAGGAAAGGGGGTGTGTAGAAAATGTGACTTTAAGCATCCTTTCCTGTGAGCTGTGGAACTGTTTATCAATAAAAAGCAAACTCAGATTGGCTTGGTAGATTCCTATTTATCTGGTAATGCCATTCTATCACCAGAAACCAGGGTATTCACTTGAGAATTCAAACTTAATTTTAAATTAAAGGCCAAAGTAGCTAAACTTATAGTACAGCTGGCATGGAGTATTTTTCTAATTCAGCCCTTTTGAAATTCACTTTGTAGTCCTGACAAAAACAAAATATATTACAGGTTGTGTGAAAATATTTAGGTGGAAAAACTTGTATTAAAAAAGTAATGGCATTAATCCTTTTTTTTCCCTTTCTATCCTTTAGAAAGAATATGTATAACATCTTTGTGTACGGGACCCTTAAGAAGGGGCAGCCGAATCATCACGTCATGACAGATGCTAATCTTGGAAACGCCATTTATAAAGGCACTGGGAAAACCATAGAAAAATATCCTCTGGTGATTGCACAGAGAGACAATGTTCCATTTTTGCTCCGTTTCCCAGGAAAAGGGTATCATATTGCCGGAGAGATCTATTCTATTGATGACAAGATGCTGAAATTCCTTGATGAGTTTGAAAGTTGCCCAGACATGTACCAACGCAATTTTGAGAGGATTGAAATAGTACAGTGGGAGGATGCTTCTGATTCACCAGACAGAGCAGAAGCTAACGGCATCATAGAGTGTTTTATCTACAGCACCACAACCTACCAGCCAGAGTGGCTCAATCTACCTTACCATGAATCCTATGATTCTTTTGGGAATCATGGCCTGGTCTTCAGTAACCGATGAATTATGATGTATAGTCTATAAAAGGACTTATGAGTAGAAATAAAAACAAGCATAAAGGCAACTGATTAAATTTACAAACGTACAAATCTCAAATGCTTACATTGGAATATAGTTTTTGAACCAAAAGTATCTCTCTTATACATGTAACTCTATGGATTAAGTCTACTAGTTCATACTGGCAGTGGGCATTGGTGCTGGCTGAAGCAGCTAAACCTCTCCCTCTCAGTTAATCACAGCCACCCATTGCTGCTCAGTTGATTGCTTCCTCATTAGCCTGAGCAGCACAGAGGGGATGGGCTGCTGGTGACTTTCTTTTCATATTAAAACCACTTTAACACTCTGCAAAGCTGCACTCTGCACAGGGGGAACACTATTTCCTCACACACATTATCCTTCAAGGCACACTATAGTCACCTAAATTCCTTTAGCTAAATAAAGCAGTTTTAGTGTATAGATCATTCCCCTGCAATTTCACTACTCAATTCACTGTCATTTAGGAGTTAAATCACTTTGTTTCTGTTTATGCAGCCCTAGCCACACCTCCCCTGGCTATGATTGACAGAGCCTGCATGAAAAAAAAAACTGGTTTCACTTTCAAACAGATGTAATTTACCTTAAATGAGGTGTGACTAGGGTTCATAAACAAAGGGATTTATCAGGAGAAACTGACCACTCATGTACTTCAGTCATGGACCCAACACTTAAGACAGCCAGAGGTCTGGTGAAAGCTGGCTACTAGGCAGCAGTCATGGGCCGGTTGAGGATATCAGTAGATTTCGCCGACACGGCCTACAAGTTCTTTTTTTATTAATCATAGTTGCAGGGCCCCATGGCATAAAGAACTCACATTGTACTTTATACGGCCTCCTCATTGCATTACTCTGAGGCTGAAACATTCCTCTTGCAGGAAGCAACTTCCTGTGTGAGTGCTGTGGTGTGAGTGCATGAGATAGAGAAAAGATGTTATACCATAACCCTGCTCCCTCCAGATATTGAGACAGGACCACATGGGAACTGCAGTCTGCTTTGACAAGCAGAATAGAGCAGCTGTATCCTAGTTGGATACACACTGAGTTTAAAAGAAAATCTAAAGGAGAAGAGCAGGATGGAATAGAAAGATGCCTTACTTTGTCTCAGTATATCTCTTGACCAGTTAAATGCCAAAAAGGTTAAGAGTGAAAGTTTTGGTCCATTGGAAAGTGAGATGGGTGAGTTAATCAAGGAGGATCAGGACAAGGCAGAAATTTTAAATACTATTTTTTCTTCAGTACATAGGGTCAGTACAAACTACAATGTGCTAACCTGTTTATTAGCAGTAATATACAACAGCCAAGTAGTCATTCATTGAGTCTGGAAGACAGGCGCTTTCACATACAGCAGAGGAAAGATTCCTATACAGGAAGAACAGTAGAGACAGGAATTCTCTGCCTATCAGATAAAACAAAGTTTGAATATTTTTTGTTGCATAAACAGAATATTAAAGGATATCATTGATATGTAGATAATGGGTTATTGATCCATGGAGAAATCTGAGTGCCAATATGGAGCCGAGAAGGATTTTACTTTCCTTTTTGTGGCATAATTAGAATTGGCTACAATTGTGTCTTCTGCCATCGTTTGAATAAGAGCCTTCATGGTTGAACTTGACGGACTTTAGCCTTTTTTCAACCTAGACAACAATGTAAAATCTATTGTCTTTAATGTGGTTGTCTTTAATGTAAGGGTCTATGACATTTTCTACCTCAAGTTCTATTGCCAGATTTATCCTCTCTTTTAATATCTGGTAACATTAGATAACATATTCTCCATTTTACTTCCATCATGATTCTGCTTAAATTGTAATTATTATATTCCAATAAAATCAATTTTTTAGTTCAATTTTGGTCTATAAAGTCAATTTATTGCAGTATAATGTTTTTAGAATATTTTTATTTATGTATACAATAAGCAGTTAAAGGAAAATTACATTACAGTAGATAACACAGCAGGGTAGAGATAGTTCTCAAGATAGAATAGTACAGGGATTATCAATAGAGACCTTAAAGACAAATTTCTAATTAGTTATCTTCGAACCACTCAATGGATTCTCAGCCCAGACTAGTCACATAGGAGTAGTCAGACATTTGAAAAGGGAGGAAGGAAATATTGAGTCAAGGGAGAAGAAGAGCCCTCTCAAATACTACAAAGCCTTTTCGGCGACCTTGTCCCCCCAATTTATCTCGGCCTTCAACTCCATACCAGAGGGAAATGCAATCCCTCAGCAGACATTGGCGGCCAACATCAACCTGTTACAAAAGGAGGGGGGAGATACCGAACAGTGCACTGGCTACCGGCCCATCTCGTTGCTTACTTGCGACCTAGGCTTGTTCGCCAAAATACTAGCAGCGAGGTTGGGTCCGCACATACCAGACTTGATCTCCCATGATCGGGTAGGATTCGTCCTACACAGAGAAGCCATGGACAACACGGTACGAGCCCTGTCCCTGATACACCACATGCAATGCACCTCTGGGGGCCTTCTCCTCCTCTCCAGCGATGCGGAGAAGGCCTTCGACAGGGTACCTCTTCTCGGTCCTCGAGCACATTGGCCTGGGGAACCATATGCGTCAGTGGATAGAGTTTCTTTACTCATCCCCCACGACTAGGGTGTGCATAAACGGTGTCTATACGGACGCATTCCCGGTCAGAAACGGAACCAGGCAGGGCTGCCCCAATCACCGCTCTTATTCATCCTGGCCCTCGAACCCTTCCTACAAGCAGTTAGGGACAACTCAGAAATCACGGGGGTAATGGTAGGGGCAGACCACCATAAAATAGCAGCATATGCGGACGATATGCTATTTTTTGTCTCCAACCCAGAAATCTCCCTAGTAAACCTCATGGCAGAATTTAAGACATATGGCCAAATCACCAACCTCAAGATCAATTATGCGAAATCTTCTATCCTCAACATTGGCACCCCCCGGAGGAGGGCACACCAGATCAGACAAAATTTCCCCTTTCAATGGCAGGATACTGCTATTAAATACTTGGGAGTGAGGCTCACGGCCGACCTGAGCAAACTATACCACACAAATTTTACCCCATTGCTGGGAGCTATACGGAAAAATCTGACAGAATGGGCCATACCCCACTTTTCCTGGCTCGGTAGGGTGGCCATTGCCAAAATGAACATCCTTCCATGGGTACTTTACCTGTTTCAAACCCTACCAATCCTACTCCCCACTGCCTTCTTCTCGTCAATCCGTACCCTCCTCATCAAATTTATCTGGAAAGGCACTAAACCCAAATACACACAACTTACACTCCCCAAAACAGCAGGAGGCCTGGCTGTCCCTGACCTCAAACTGTATTAGCAAGCATGCCACATGCAACGGGCCCTGGAATGGGCCAAGGAGGATATGCAAACCCTGGAAGGCCATTGAAGCCCATCACGCGGGCAAGCCCCTCTCAGCCCTCTTGTGGCTTGACCCCCACCATCGGCAGATGGCTAATCTCCCAACAACTGTTTGTTACAGCCACTCTCTCTATAAACTATGTCTCTCCTCCTTCCCATCCCCACTACTATCCCTGGTGTACAACCCTGATTTCGAACCGGGGATGAGACTAGGTAACCTCTGCTGCGTCCTCCCACAAGACATACCCAGACTCCAAGACATAACCACTAACGGGAAAATCCTGCCGCCACTAGAGACACCCACGGGCACATCCAATCACACCTTCATGACGGGCTTTAGATACAGCCAAATTAAGAACTACATTGCCGCCCTACCCCAACGCCCTGACATCCATAGGGACCTCACACCATTCGAACAACTGTGCCAGGACCCGGATCCTATGCCCCACAGCATCTCCTACGTCTAGTCAATGCTACGACGACAACAGGGGCACCCCCCACACCCCTTCATGTACAAATGGGAAACCGCCATAGGGGAAATACTCACCGAGAACCAGTGGCACAAGATCTGTGATCTGGTGCATCATTGCGCAATTGCTAGTAAAACCCAGGAAACGGCCTATAAGGTTCTCATGCAATGGTACCTGACACCGGAAGGCATACAGACAATGCACATAGACACGGATGGCCTCTGCTGGAGGTGCGGGGGAGGGGTGGGATCCTTCCTCCACATATGGTGGGAATGCCCACTCATAGTACCATTCTGGGAAAAAATTGCCTCCATAGTGGCCCTGTTCACAGACAACACACCACCCTTTAAGCCAGTTCCTACCTCCTGCACCACACGACAACCCCTACACCACGATACAAGCACTCCCTGACCATTCGAATCCTGAATGTTGCAAAACATCTAATACCCCTGTACTGGAAAAAGGACACAACCCAACGCTTTCCCTCTGGTTTAGCAAAATGGAGGAGCTGCGAGTTACAGAGGTGCTCTGGTACACGGCCCAAGACTGAGCGCAGACACACATAGACACATGGACGCCCCGGCTGGGACGAGTGGGCACAGAGGCGTTTCAGACAACATATCTGACCATGGGGGGAGGGACTGTCAACCCACAGCAGGAGACACAGGGAAACTAACTGGACGACCCACACCCGCTTCCAATGTACGCCACCGCACCGCCCCAGTCCGCCCTCTTGCCCCCCCCGACAGGTCCTGTGCGGAGCTTGTGCCCTGGAGCCCGGGAAACTGACCCCGCGGAGACATACCGGGGTGCACAAGAGGCAGAGGGCATGCCCAGCCAGATTGCTGAGGTTACACCATTATACCCGTCAGAGTGTAGTTGCCTGCAACACCTAAAATGGCTTATGGCCACATGCACTCACATTATCTGTGTGGGGACAGGCGGGTACCCCCCCCTGAACACGCAGGATGCTGCGAGTCCCCAGTTCTTCCCTCTGACCACGGAAATGGCCTGGTCGGCGGACAGGAACCTAAACGCCACAGCAAGTGAACATTCGGGATCTAAAACCCAACCCAATTTAAACATGGTACCCATCAGACGTAAAAGAGTATTGCTTAAATACACCTATGTACCACCGGACCTGCGAGTCCATTGTGCACATGTTATACATCTCATAATGCGACCTGCGAGCCGCTACCGCATACCTAAAGGATTGTACCTTACAGTGTATATGCGATTACAAGTAAACAAGGGGACCTACGCGTCCACGTTGAAATACTATGTATTGAAAAATATTCAATAAAAACATATTTAAAAAAAAAAAAAGAAGAGGAGGAGAAAGAGGATGATCCCAATTATAGTGGAGAAAGAATAAATAAAACTCACTTTTTATATTTTCATTTTTAATGGAATAAGACAGAATTCAAAATCAATCTTTATTTTTTCATTTTACAAGACAGCAGCACGATAAGACAGAGGATAACCTTTATAACAAGTGTTTATACAAAATAGTGTAACATGTACACTGTACATTGTACACAGTGGCAAAAATATAAGAATGTCAAAAACCGGATATCAACATGAGAAGGCAGCATAAAAAGTGGAGCTAAATAAACAAACTAAATTGATAGGATTTTGGATGTTCTGAGAAGCTTAATCATGACCTGATGTCCACAAAGATGAAGTACGCAGTTACCAGCTTCACCACAGGTTTTTTCCAACAAATATGACTACAGCACCTATAAAAACAGCTGTAGGCATGTTCAGAGACGGCTCTCTAATTAGGTGACTTTGGCGGCCGCCCAAGGCCTCGCGCTGGCTGTGGCCTCGCGGCCGCCTAAATCACCTTAGGGTAGACTCACATGTTGGGTCTTCAGTCTATGAAGACCCTCCATTCAGTCTGCCCTAATGGAGATCCAGCCTCCAGTTTGCAGCTCCGCCAGGAGTGAGCTGCAGTCTGAGGTATCTTTCGATCTCAGCCAATCAGAGCGTTGCCATGGCAATGCTCTGACTGGAGATCGTGAGACTTACCATGTGGTCTGTAGCTCACTCCCAGCGGAGCTGCAGATCAGAAATGGAACCCACTGGACCACTGGGGGATCGTTAATGAGGAAATCAAAAGGTATTTATGACCTCCCCCCACACACTGGCAAAGCCCCCCTACCCTGCCACAGCCCCCTCTACACTGTCACTGCCCCCTACCCTGACACAGTCCCCTCTACCCTGACACAGCTCCCCCTAACTAGCCACATCCCCACTACCCTGTCACAGCCCCTTTAAACCTCTCCAGCCCCCCCTCACCCTGTTACAGCCCCCTAACCCTATCATAGCCCCATAACCCTGTCACCCCTCTAACCATGCCATAGTCCTGTCACAGCCCCACCTTGTAACAGCCCCTCTAACCCTGTCACAGCTCCTCTTACCCTCTCCAGCCCCCCTAACTGCGCCACAATTGTATATACTAACCAGAAACAATGACAAATAATCATAAAAGTAAATAGTGAGTTGCAATTAATTTTTCTTATTTGCATCTTAACTGTTAATAAATATACCCACTAAATTAGTAAATTAAAGGAACACTATAGGGTCAGGAACACAAATGTTTATTCCTGACCCTATAGTGTTAAAAACATTATTTAGCCCCCAGCCCCCCATAGATATAGTAAAAACTCACCTTATTTCCAGCACCTTGTGTCCGCTGGCTCTGGTCTACCCCTGATTCGCCTCCTTGGCTGACATCAAAATTGACAATCTCAGCCAAGGCTAACAAGGCATTTACTGAAGTTGATGGGGTGATTGGGGACGACATTTCTTGCCACCCTTCCCTGGAAAGTGCAGCTCAAGGCAAAGATCTGGCACAGCCAACATCCATATCCGTCATCAGCTTTCTACTGAAACAATAAAATGTTTGTGAAAAAAATAAGCATTGTAAAAATGACTTGTACAAAATAGTGTGTTAAATATCTAGACATTGTTGCCATATTTTTGTACACATCTCTCCTATGTGGCAAAACCCATGCAGGGTTCTTGATCTGTCTTCAGATAATTTTTTACTTTGCAGTATGCTGGTAGGCCACTTGAGGGGGCTAATGCAGACAGACTCTTCAGATGCATTCTGTGTTTTTGCGCCCTGACCTGTTTTCTGTTCTTGTTCCTTTGATTCTTATCATTTATCCATATTTGTTTGGTTTGGACTGGTCATTTGGCCGTGTCCATTGAATGGGCTATGTTATATAACTCTAGATCTTGCACACCTGTAACAAGCCAGGCATGCTACATTTAAATCATGTGGTTGCTTTCCTGCCATGTGACTGGACTCAAGTAACTGCTGCAGGCCATCTAAGAACTTTTTAAACTTTTTATTAACCACCACCACATTATTTAGTTCTTTTTATAAATATGTTTTGGTAACACATTCTAGTGGTTCCCATTAAAATTGGTTATATGTTGTTTTTTTTTCTGCTCACACTCCAATAAAAGAGTATTTTTTCTTGCCCTCTTCTGACACTCTCTATTAGTTCTGGGGCACAGAGAGTGTCCAATCAAAACTACAAATATCTACATGCACATGTCCCAACCTAGTTCCCACACACCTCTCATGAATATTTGGTGGGGGAGGGAAAGTAAATACACTGTAAAATCCATTCTTATATTCAGAAGTCAGTAATACTAATTTTCTGTAAAAAAAACCAACAGAACTTTAAAAACATAATCTGCCCTTGGAAACAACAGGCACAGAGATGTAACTTGAAACCAACGGGCCCTGGTGCGGAAATTGCCCTACTCCCCATGTGTCTCATTCCCCTCTCCCAGTCCCTCTATGTGTCTCATCCAACCATGTGTGGCATTCTCCCCTCCAGCCCGTCCATGTGTCTCATTCTCCCCCCAGTACCTCAATGTGTCTCATCCCACCATGTGTTGCATTCTCCTCTCCAACTCCTCCATGTGTCTCATTCTCCCCCCCCCAACCCATCTGTATCTCACCCCCCTACCTCCCTCCCATGTGTTGCATTCTCCCCTTCGGCTCGTCCATGTGTCTCATTCTCTCCCCAGCTCCTCCATTTGTCTCATTATACCCTCACCCAGTTCCTCCATGTGTCTCATTCCCCCCCACAGCCCCTCCATGTGTCACATCCCCCCACAGCCCCACCATGTGTCTCATCCCCCCCCCCACAACTTCTCTATGTTTCTCATTCCCCCCACAGCCCCTCTCCATTTTTCTCAACCCACTCCAATAAAATCTGATTTGAAGTTGCTGTTTAGTGGATGAGTGAGTACACTGGATCTTGTGTATTGTATAAATTGGCCCCAGCAGCACCCCATTTATGCATGTTCAGATGAGTGCAGCCCCCTGGTTTCATATATATATATATATATATATATATATATATTTATTATGTATTATATATATATATCTATATACAGTACACCCCTCACATTTTTGTAAATATTTTCATATCTTTATTATCTTTTCATGTGACAAGACTGAAGAAATGACACTCTACTACAATATAAAGTAATAAGCGTACAGCCTGTATAACAGTGTAAATTTGCTGTCCCCTCAAAATAACTCTCCCTCCCACCCCCCATTCCATGTTGCTGAAGGGGTTTAAACCCCTTTAGTGACTTACCTGAATCCAGCGCCGATGCCCCTCGGCTCCGGGTCAGGCTCCGCCCACGCTCGTCGGCGGGGGAACCTAATGCGCATGCGCGGCAATGGCGGCGCATGCGCATTAGACGTCCCCATTATTCAATCCTTTCCTATGGGGATACCGGCGACGCTGGAGGTACTCATGCATAGCGTGAGGACGTCCAGCGTCGTTTAACCCCTTAAGGACCAAACTTCTGGAATAAAAGGGAAACTTGACATGTCACACATGTCATGTGTCCTTAAGGGGTTAAAACACTTTTCGGGTTTTAAGATAGACATCCTCTAGAGGAGGACTTAACCCTGCAAGGTAATTATTGCAGTTTATAAAAACTGCAATGATTACACTTGCAGGGTTAAGGGTGATGGGAGTTGGCACCCAGACCACTCCAATGGGCCAAAGTGGTCTGGGTGCCTGGAGTGTCCCTTTAATGTCTAAAACGTTGGCAACAAAAGTGAGTACACACCTAAGTGAAAATGTCCAAATTGGGCCCAATTAGCCATTTATCCTTCCTGGTGTCATGTGACTCGTTAGTGTTACAATGTCTCAGGTGTGAATGGGGAGCAGGTGAATTTGGTGTTATCGCTCTCACGCTCTCTCATAATGCTCACTGGAAGTTCAACATGGCACCTCATGGCAAAGAACTCTTTGAGGATGTGAAAAAAAATGGTTGCTCTACATAAAGATGGCCAAGGCTATAAGAAGATTGCCAAGGCCCTGAAACTGAGCCAGTGGGTAAGACCATAAAGTGGTTTCACAGGACAGGGCCCACAGAGAATAGGCCTTGCATGGTCGACCAAAGAAGTTGAGTGCACGTGCTCAGCATCATATCCAGAGGTTGTCTTTTGGGAAATAGACGTATGAGTGCTGCCAGCATTGCTGCAGAGGTTGAAGGGGTGGAGGGTCAGCCTGTCAGTGCTCAGACCATACGCAGCACACTGCATCAAATTGGTCTGCATGGCTGTCATCCTCTTCTAAGGATGATGCACAAGAAAAGCCCGCAAAAAATTTGCTGAAGACAAGCAGACTAAGGACATGGATTACTGGAACCATGTCCTGTGGTCCAATGAGACCAAGATAAAATTATTTGGTTTAGATGGTGTCAAGCGTGTGTGGCAGCAACCAGTTGAGGAGTACAAAGACATGTGCGTTTTGCCTACAGTCAAGCATGGTGGTGGGAGTGTCATGGTCTGGGCCTGCATGAGTGCTGCCGGCACTGGGGAGCTACAGTTCATTGAGGGAACCATGATAGCCAACATGTACTGTGACATACTGAAGCAGAGCATGATCCCCTACCTTCACAGTCTGGGCCGCAGGGCAGTATTCCAACATGATAACGACCCCAGAAACACCTCCAAGACGACCACTGCTTTGCTAAAGAAGCTAAAGGCAAAAGTGATGGACTGGCCAAGTATGTCTCCAGACCTAAACCCTAAAGAGCATCAGTGAGGCATCCTCAAACGAAAGGTGGGGGAGCACAAGGTCTCTAACATCCACCAGCTCTGTGATTTCGTCATGGAGGAGAACAAACCTGTGAAGCTCTGGTGAACTTCATGCCCATGAGGGTTAAGGCAGTGCTGGAAAATAATGGTGGCCACACCAAATATTGACACTTTGGGCACAATTTGGACATTTCCACTTAGGGGTGTACTCAGTGGTGTATTTTGGATCTGTGCTGCCCTAGGCATGACGGAACTCGGGCACCCCCTAATTTACATTTGCCCCACCCCTTTCTAGTCAATGCCAGACCTCTTCCTGTTAAAGAATAACACACACACTTTGACTGACAGACACACACTCTCAGATACACTGACATACACACACACAGATTTGACACAATCTGACAGACACACTCAATCACTGACTCACTCACAGACACACACCGACAGGCATACGCAATCAGACACACACACAGTCACTGACAGACACACTCACTCACAGATGCATACTGACAAGACACACACGATCACAGACAGACAGACACACACAATCACTCAGACACACAGGCTCCCTCACAGACACACACTGACAGACATACACTCACTCACAGACACACTGACAAACATACACACACACTGCCAGCCAGCCAGACCCACACACACCTCCCCCAACACTCACAGATTATTTTTAAATTTTAATTTAAATCCACCCAGCCTCCCTACCTTTGGGAGAGCTGGGTGGATTTTTTACCTAGGGTCTAGTGGGGCTGCTGGGGCAGGGAGGGAAGCAGGCATGCAGGCCGTTTGGAGGCTAGGTGAATTCCAAGGCAGGCAGCGAGGGAGCACTGATTTGTGAGCTCTCTGCTCAGTCATATTCCGGCTTCCGGCATCACTCTGTGGCGCATGAGGAAGCTGAGCAGAGAGAGGTCACAAATCAGCACTCCCTCCCCACCCGCCTTGGAACTCCGCTAGCCGCCTCCCACCAGGCTTACAAGGAATTTGCCTGGGCATTTGGGGTCGGCGTTTTTTGCCGCCTCCTGGAAAGTGCCACCCAAGGCAAATGCCTTGTTTGCCTCACAGCAAATACGTCACTGGGTGTACTCAGTTTTGTTGCCAAAAGTTTAGACATTAATGGCTGTGTGTTTAGTTATTTTGAGGGGACAGCAAATTTACACTGCTATACAGGCTGTACGCTTACTACTTTACATTGTAGCAGAGTGTCATTTCTTCAGTGTTGTCACATGAAAAGATATAAAATATTTACAAAAATGTGAGGGGTGTACTCACTTTTGTGAGATACTGTATATATATATATATATATATATATATATATATATATATATATTAAAATCTACAATCTGCCCTTTATTTTACTGGGCAGATCTGGTGTTAAATGCCATGGATGGTGGCATCATTAGTGAATAACACTTGGATAACCTTCATGCATTATTATTCCTATAAATATTCATATATTAGTTTACATTTTTATATTATATATATTAAGGGATTTAATAAAGCATATACAGCATATATAATTTGTAATGCATCCATGTATGTACATACATCCATATATGTACATGTGCCTAATGTATTCACTGAATATTTGATGATTTTGGGAGTATTGAACAGAAACCATAATAAATTGTTTTATCTTTATGGATAGTCCTGTCTAATGAATATTTGATAGAGTATGGTTCTATAGTCTTTGTTGTGTTTCAGTGGGATTCCTAGTATTTAAAGTTGTTTTTGTCGTTATTTTCTGACTGGCTTGTTCTCCACTTCTTTACAAACATCACTCATTTATTCTTAGATGTTGCAGTAATTCTTTTTGATGTATATATAATGCTCACCCATTGTGAATTTCCCTACTTCCAGATCTAGTACCACAGAGATGTTTCTTGGCGATAAACCAAACCTTCTATCCCGGTCATCACTGCTGGCCACGCCACCATCAGATAGGCAGGTCTATGGAGTCATACATGCTACGTGATCATTGCAATTATAGATCAGACTTGATTAACATTGCTTACCCATCTCAAAGCTGATCACCTTACATTCAACCTTATTTGTGCTGGTCTTGTATTATGTGCGCTGTGTATTGACATTATTCCAATTTATTCTCCACATAATGGATAAATCTATTTTCCACTGGTTTGACAGCAGATCAAAGAGAAACTTGAGCTTCTGTAAAACTCTTCACCCCTGCAGCTGTGTCACTGGGAGGAAATCAATGGAAGAGGTGTTCAATGCTAGAAACAAAGACAGACTCACAATTCCCTGTTATTAATATAGATGTCGTATGACCTTCCATACAAGTAGGGTTGGTTAGACAGGCTTTCCTTGGAGAGATTTGCCATCAAGACTTGCTTTTTTGTTTAACTTCAGTGTAGACTGAATAAAGCAATACTATTTCTAAAATGGGGTTTATATTTTGCATATAAAAGTAATTTATAAACTGCAAAGTGCAAAACAAAATAGATGTTCCAGTGGCGACCTATTTCCATGTGTGCACATAAACATATCTGCGTGCAGATTTAGACGTATTTGCTGTTGTGAGTATACTGAAAGCATGGCTTGCACACATCAGATACATACGGATGTAATTGACTGATGAGAATGGTGGCATAATATAACCAAGACTGCGAATGGTTCCCATCTGAAATATTTAGAATTGTGGGTAAAATCTTTTCGTGACAGAGGTTGGTTGTATACCCACATATAACTGAGAGGGACACTTTTTTTTTTTTTTAATAATGTCATGTACCCCTAACACATGTATAGTTTTATTAGATATTATGGTTAAGGGACATTTGTGCAAAGAAGAGTCAGAATACAATTTAGATACTTCCATTGTTTCCATCATCATCTTTGTTTCCGGTATTCATCATACAACAATAAAAGTGCTATAATGCATACCAGTTTATATATTTTTTTTACAGTGCAATGTTATGTCTTAAATCGCTTTCTCAGTGTAACTGTCACTCATCCAATGTAAATAGAAACATAGAATGTGACGGCAGATAAGAACCATTCGGCACATCAAGTCTGCCCAATTTTCTAAATACCCTCATTAGGTCCCTGTCCTTATCTTATAGCTAAGGTAGTCCTTATTAAAAATGTGCAGTCAGGGCTCCAAACAGCTTTGTATAGTATAGCTGAATAAACAGATCAACTTAAATACGTTGTTTCGAGTTACATTGTAACTAAATGTATATAGTATGAACAGGATATTTGCAAACAGCTCATGATATTACAAACTCAAGCAACAGTGGTATATACTCCAAGTGACACATATATCCCATACTCCGTAATCCAAAAAAAACATCTAAATTGGCACACAGTTTTGCAAGCCTCTACAATTCCCGTCAATCAAAACCATAGAACTGCTGTACTGGAATGTATGACTGTTTCCCTGCAATGTTTTAGGAGTTAGTCCAGTAAATGTAATTAGGTGGTAGTGTCCCATATGTCTAATTTGGATGTAGATATTGAAAAGGGTGCAAGTGATTGTTTGCAAATTCACAGGATATTAATATGGTACAGACTGGCTCAGCAAAAGCAAAAAATTATCAGAATTGCTTATTTATTAAAATTGTGATATCTTGACAAAACAAGTATAATTTGTACAGGCCATATGTTTACATACAAAGAAATCGGAGCTCAGAGAAATGAAAGAGAACTTCATTCTACATTTTACACTTTCTATTATTTGTATCAAATTTTTCCAACAGCTCTTCAACAATTTCCAGTTTAGGTTTTCAATACATTAGGACATGAACATAGGCAGCTGTTAAACGAGCACAGACCTTCCTATCTGGGAGTTTGGTGGCTCTGATTCTTTGTATTTCCAGTGAGTAAGTAATTTAAGTGAGTGGGTTTAGTCCCACTATCTGCTCCATGATTCCCAATCCCAAGACTGCCCAATCTTCCTGCACATTTGTTCCAGAGTTGCACATATTGAAAATCCCCAGCTATGACTATGTAGACCTGCCTGATGAAATCACTGCTTGATACTCTATGTATTCATGAACTGAAAAATAGGATTACTGTATTTAAAGAATGGACATTACCAATATTTGCTCTGTATAGGAGTAGGTCATAATTTGCCAGATTTATTCAAGAGCATAAACTAAAGAATTAGGAACTGTGATGAATAAAATGTAAACACAATTTTGGGGTGGGGGCTAACAAAGGTTTATTTTATTTTTTTGCTTCTTTGTGATTGGTAATCATAAGCTTTAATAGGTAGATCACTGCTGTATTCTGGTTTATTATTAGAAATACAACACACGTAGGTTTAATTGGAACTACCACATAAGTAAATATATTGATTGAGTCATAATTAGTGTTAGCTATAGCTCATAGCTTATTTTATATGGTGGCATCTATATTAAATATTTCCCTGAGAGCTGTATTTTCCAAAATGTTCTTAACATCTGTACATTTTGTTAATATTTGCCATTTAGTCAATAACATTATGAATGGAGTCTATATCATGAATTACAATGTGGAGCATTATCCACACTGTAGAGCTGTAGTGAATTAGAATGCTTTTTAAGTTCAGCAAACAGTTACATGAATATAAAAAAAAGTTGAAAGTAAACAATCCTTTGTCAAAAAAAATTGTTTAAAATACAGAACTGATCTGGCTTGTACAGTACAGATAGTATACAATTACTGGAGTAGGTGAAATGATTCATTTGAAGTCTTGCTGTTTATTCCATTCAACGACACCTTCTAATAAATACAAGTGTATAAAATTGGTTTCAGAGGAATGTCACCTGGGACATGAAATCATTTAGAAAGTGGCAACGTCTTGTAAATAAATCATTTTATTCCAACTGGACCAGAAGATCTCCTTCGCCCACGGTCTCACCAGCCTTGCAATGCACAGAGGTTACCTGTTCATCGAAATAAAGTGACATCAGTAACAATTTTTAAATAAAAATGTGTGTTTAGTTTTGCTCATCATGACGTTAAACAAGAAAAATCCATCACCATTTTTAAATCTGTTTTGCAGTTGTGTATAGAAATGAAAGAAAGAAAGTGTAAAATAGTTTTAGCTAAATTTAAAATTCTATGAACACTTTTGGTTTTCTCCAATCATTGTCAAATTTTCAAAATTAGAGACAATTTAGTCCCGGGGAATATAATCATCAAATGTCATTCCAGTAAAATAAAGTGATTTAATACATTAGCGTATGTCATATCTCACTATTACTGCATGGACTGTGTGTGTGTGTCATGTAACAGAATTAGTAACACCAGGTGTGGGGATTCTAGGCCCTATGTTATCATTAAATAAACTCAAAGTAATATGCATTCAGCTTGTATAATATGGAAAATGAGATCAAGGCACATAAAATAAATAGTTGATGTATGTTTCTCTTTATATAACGTTAAAAGATTAATACCTTCGCTGTTTTCACGGCAGTCATGCTGTTCTGCATCTTCATAGCTTCAATTACACAGATCTCTTGTCCCTCAGAAACCTAGAAAAATACAATTGCAAATGTTCAGGTGTTTTTGCATTGTGCGTGTGTTTCATCTGCAGAGTGTAGAAAATGACAGATATAGTATTTATTTAAAATATCCACAAATAATAAAAAGCATAAAATAAAGTTTATCAAGTTACAGGATGACATTTTGTGTCTATTATATTAAAATGATGACGTATGGTGGACTCTCCCCTACTGAATTTGGCACACAT